AAAGGCAAGGCCATCAAGGATCACATCAACACAAAGCCCCAGTATGATAAAAAGATAATATGGATCGGGGACAAACTGCGCATGGAAGCGGACGTCGCAAAGGGTCTTTTCAAAGAGACATGCGAAAGCGTCGCCAAACATCTTAGAGAACTTTTCAGCCAGGGACAAGTTAAAGATGTTCCTACTATTCTTATGGTTGGTGGTTTTTCAGAGTCTCCTATGCTACAAAAGGTACTACGTGACACTATGCCTGATAAGAAAATCATCATTCCTGCAGACGCTGGACTTGTAGTTCTGAAGGGAGCTGTTATTTATGGTCACAACCCGGACATCATCGGCGAAAGACGCTGCAGATTTACTTATGGCGTTCAGGCATCGTATCCTTTCAAGGAAGGCGTTGATCCAGAATCGAAGAAGTTCACAAATGATGCTGGCAAGGTATTCTGTGCGGACAAGTTTGATAAGCATGTTGAAATTGGACAAGCAGTTACTTGTGGAGAAGATCAAGTCACTCGGTCATATAATCCTACAAAAATTAACCAGACAAAAATTACATTTTCTGTATACGCATCGAAAGATGAGAATCCCGTCTTTACAACTGATCCCAACTGTACTCTTGTTGGTTCGTTGTCTGTTGATTTACATGGTTCTGGACTTGAGCGATCGGTTACAGTTCAGTTGTCTTTCAGTGATACAGAGCTTCACGTGAAAGCCGTAGAGAAAGCCACTGGCAAGGAAAGCACAGCAACATTTGATTTTCTTAGTTGAGTGAAAATACAACATGTACTTGTTTTAATTTTATATATCAATGCTACGTTATGGAAACTGGATACGCTTCATATGTCAGGATTCATGTATACAATGTTAAGATGTATGTATGTTTGATAAATGTATGCTTTTATTGTCCTCTTGATAATTCATGTAATATTTTGGGAAATAAATCACCATGGAATTCTGTATTGTTTTACTTAGTAAACATTTTAAAAGTCAACTTACAAAATAAGTTACAGCTGCACTGGCAGAAAATCCTGCATACAGGCCATTAAAATGTTTTAAAGTGAATTTGCTTACAATGTGCACGTTTTCCATGTATTTCAAATATTGATAAAACTATAAAAATGAATCAGTTGAGTATTCTTATGAAAAAATGATTGGAAGAAAAATGTTAATAAAGTTCTATGAGATTTAGCATGAACATTTTTATGATGAATACTAATATGTTGTTTTAGAACTTTTTTACTATCTACTATAGAATTATATGTAACAAGAGGCCATGTATCTAACACTTGCCAACATCATCCATGTATTCGTGGTTTGTTGTTATGTGTTATCAACATAATTATTAATTGTATTACAAAGCTTTTATTATAGACACCTCAAGTTAATATCTCTGTTAATGAGATATTTCGTCACAATTAATGCAAATGACAGGACGTGGAGTGGTTGCACACTTGTTTCAAGCGAGCGATTGTTTGCAAACTTGGCAAAACCCGCTTTCATTAAAAAAATACAGACGGGCGTTATGATTATTCATGGCTTAGTAGCCATTTTGTTAAGTTTGCAACCATTTCGCTCGCTTGAACCAAGTGTTCAAAACCATTTTACGTCCTGTCCCTCATAGTGTGCACATTATATTATATTATTATGACTCAGAAAGTCTTCCTGTCTCTCGTAGTGTGCACATTATATTATATTATTATGACTCAGAAAGTCTGCATTTATTTTGTTTTTTCTATGACCTGTATATGGTTGGCTTTTCAAGAAATAAAGAGAGCAGGCTTTTTGGTTTTACTTTTTACAAACACAAAAACAAACCATAAAACGTGGTCAAAAAAATATAACGAATGTAAATAAAGAATAATAAATTTGAATAAAGTATCATTATAAGCCTCTGATATAGAGCTTCACTATAATGATTGTTATAATGTATTTGAGCTCATCAATGTCCTTTCTAATTGCTAATAGGACAGATGAGGGCATAAAAACGGTCTCAAATAATAAAGTATCATTTAACAGAGTTGCTTTAATCATTCGTTATCAAATGACTCAAACGTAAAGAAGTAAGTAAATAACAGAGTAATACGATATTGTATATTTTACGCCGCACTGGTATGCCTATTGAATTACTTTACTTATATACCAGGTAAGTATTTCTTCTTAATACTAGCATTCGGTAATTGATATACAAATGTAACGGGGAAGTTCTGTCTACCTTTATTTTACTAACGCTTGGTTTTAATTTTACTTCCGTTTCTGAAAATCATTAAGACGTTGAAGTCATTTAGATTAAACTGATTATATAGATATAATCTAGTTTTATTGCATGTCTAGGACAGATTATAAGTTAATGTATGACTTAACATATCAAATATTATTCTTAGACAGTTTTTGATTGTAAAGAATAAATTCACGAAAAAATATCCCTATGAATTTGAATAACACATACATGTCAAGATGATATGAATAATTTGCGGAACATTATAAAATTTCATTAACCTTTCTTTTTTGATTTTCGATGAGCAGTCATTGTAAAGCAAATTACTTTGTTGATAAATTGGTTTGGTTAAACACATTTATTTCAGCTCGGTTGCGAAACAAGTTCTTACAACTTTCGAGTCCGCTTCCGGGAACCAACCAATACTGGTGTTATATGAAGAAACATGGTCGTGACCCGATTGGGCTCGAACTAATGATTCACGGGTTGAGAGGCAGACACCTTAACCACTAGGCAACTGCTCTTCTTAAAGATAAGTGATATATAGATTATACTTTAAACTCATTGTTACATTATTTAGCAAATCACACGGATTAATAATTCTGTTTGTCATTTTGATTTTTCATTATTTATTTTGTGGGTTATCTCATCTTCCTTTTAATTAAAGAAAAAGTTTACTTGAAACGGTTATGTACATATTTCGTGTCTAATCAAATGTTTGATAACTTATCTCTTTTTTTGCAATACTCGTTTAATATCAAGGTATGTTCGTATATACATGTATCGTTTAAACATTCAAAATGTGACAGCGTTGAGCGTTCAGCGTTTTGTGTCGATATTCAGACAAAGGTGTATCAAAATAATAAATATGGTAGATACGGGACTGCACCATAGCATAATTTATAAATGATTTTTTAAAAAAGAAACAATCTGGTTGTATTATATTGCAAGGTCGGAAGGTTCACTTTCGAAATCCACACACGTATTAGAATAACGCAAGTTGTTTACTTTCAAAATACGCCTCATCTGAATGATATACATTGTTTTGTGAGAAATAAATACGTTTATATTCAAATATCATTTATAAAGTTGTTAACTTGTCTCAAGAAAATTAACCTGCTGGAACCGGAAATGATTAGCCTTTGCCACTAGTATAGGGCCCGGTAAACCTTCATACCCGTTCAGTCTGTCCAGACTCTATATTGTTGGCTGATTAACTTTATTTTCTCATGATATCTCCAAACATGATTATGGACTGTTCCAAAAACAGAAGCGAATCAAGTCCATTTGAGGAATTCACAAGGCTAATAATCACATGGACTCTATGGTTTCTGATAAAAGGAAATGCAATACAAAGAGTACCAACACTTTTCTTTTAACTACATAGAATTTGATCATTCATATCTTTAACTACGTAGAATTTGATCATTCGTATCTTTAACTACGTAGAATTGTATTATTCGTATCTGATAACAAATGGCGGAAGTTGTTTAACCGATGAATACCACGAATCGAAGTAAAACAAGGAAGGTATAATAGAAATAAACATTCCTAGTTTCGGTGAACAGGGTACAAGAGGTATATTTTCAATATGTTTTTTCTTTCTTCTTTTCGCAAAACAATATTAATCTAACAGGCAATCAGTTTGTGGAGGTTTGACGTCATGACATTTTATGTTATTTTTAACTGTTTGAATTGTAAATTTAATAAGGCTAGTTTCGTTTTCATGGGAAAAAATCAAAACAGAATCGATACGGACTGTATTAAGTGCATATTCCTACAATAAAGTAAAGTTAGCAGCGAAATTCTGTAAACAATCAACATATCAATAAAAACAAAATCAATCAAGAACACACAGGGATTAATGTTCATTATCTAAGATGTAACTAAGGTATTAAGGACTTATTTCCAGTATACGAATATACATGTTTGTAAATATTAAATGTATACTATACTCATCAAACATGATTGTTTCGGTGTTTATTAAAGCACAATATTCTTTTGAACCGAATAACTTTTTTTCTTATTTAGAAAGGGCAAACATGAGTTTTGAAAATGTTAAAATAATGGTTTAAGAGCATGTAAGATGCTTGATACCCGAAGACAGCAGTGCTTGTTACCCGAAGACAGTAGTGCTTGTTATCCGAAGACAGTAGTGCTTGTTACCCGAAGACAGTAGTGCTTGTTACCCGAAGACAGTAGTGCTTGTTATCCGAAGACAGTAGTGCTTGTTACTCGAAGACAGTAGTGCTTGTTACCCGAAGACAGTAGTGCGTGTTACCCGAAGACAGTAGTGCTTGTTACCCGAAGACAGTGGTGCTTGTTATCCGAAGACAGTTAGTGCTTGTTACCCGAAGAACAGTAGTGCTTGTTACCCGAAGACAGTAGTGCTTGTTACCCGAAGACAATTGTGCTTGTTACCCGAAGACAGTAGTGCAGAAAGCAACAGACGCACAATATAATTCAGGTGATTGAACAGTGAGTAACTCTTGGAAACTATGAAAGGACGTCAAAAAGAAAAGCTTTTTTTTGGAATAAAAAAAAGAAAGCATTTCCCGGGTATAATGAGTATTTAAGATTTCAAGAATCTTTTACACAGATAAAGCATGACCTATGAATTCATGCAAAAACAAAAACAAAACAAACATCAACAACAAGCCCCACTATAGAAGTTTTATTAATTTTAAAGTTTAAATTTCTTTACTATCCTATTTCAGTGCTTCATTGATCTATGTAAAAAATCCAAATTTTGTCTTTTTAGACTTTCTGAAAGACAATGAGTGACCAAAACCAGGACTATTTGCTAGTGGCTGCCATTGATTTTGGCACGGCATATTCAGGTTGGGCTTTTTCCACTAGGACTGATCACAGTAAAGATCCGCTTAAGGTATCATTAACCGTTAAAACTTTAACCGTTTAATTCTCTACTTGAAGTTAAAATGATTTTTTCCTCACACATTTTTAACAGTCACATGAAGACATAAATGTTACCCTTTTCTGGCAAAGAATATTTTGTTTGAACAAATAGCCGACAATATTGATATATATATATATATATATATATATATATATATATATATATATATATATATATATATATATATATATATATATATATATATATATATATATATATATATATATATACATGATAAGCAACATATGTATACTTTTCGCAAACTGATTTTATTACTATTCATTTCAAAATACAATATCAATGTGAACTAGTTCTATTTATACTTTTGATATAAAAAATAAGTATGTGTTTCTCATTTAGGTATGTGCAAACACATGGGGTGCCGGGAATCTAATGTCATTGAAGACATCCACATGTGTTCTCTTTGACCAGAACAAGAAATTCCATTCTTTTGGTTTCGAGGCTGAAGATGCTTACTCTGACCTTGCCCTTGACAACAAACATGGCGACTACTTCTTCTTTCGAAGATTCAAGATGAAACTCTTTGATAAATTGGTAGGTAATCTCCTGCAAAACAAACATAGCAGAAGCAAAACGTTGTTACGTTCATTATATTTATATCCATTTTATCAGCGTCTACACTATGTGAATTCCCGATGAAAAATCATTTTTGGACCTTATCTTATATCAATTTAGCCTCGTTTTCATATCCGGAATATTGTAACACAATTTTTTTCATGGTTTTATTTCATAAATATGATGCTCAAATTAAGATTTGTCAATATTGTAAGTTCCAATAAGCATTATTTATAAAGATATTACCCAATATAACATTTCATGTAAATAAAGGGAGGTAATTAGAAATTTATTTTCTCTAACTTCTAAGTCAAATTTTCCAATAAGACATGAATGCATGTGATTTATTGATTAAATATAATGTGCACAAATACTTGCAGTACACATTTTATATATTTTTCGATGTTTAATAATTGTTTTTTTTTTTGTTTTTTTTTTCATAATTATATACATATATAATATTTTGCAAGTGTGGTAAACACACAGTAAACACAATATCAATCACAAAACATATAGGATCTTTAAAACATATTGTACTATTTATAGTCTCGTTTTCATTGTCTGAGTCCGTGAAAGCCAAATCAAATCTATATTGTACTCAAAGAAACTAAGTTTTGGTAAAATGTTAAAATAAAGAAAGTAATTATACATTGCTTAACGGAATACTGATTCTATTGGACTCGATTATACCTGCAAGACTTATAGTGTTTACCACTTCAATGCTCCATTTACCTTTATCTTCTTACAATAAAATTTCGAATGGATAAGATTTTATCATATGTAATGTTAATGGATGACGTTTTTAATCAAATATATAATCTACATTTTTGATGATAACAATGAGGATGTATGAATTATGTATTTGTGTTATATTGGATCGGGTCAGCAAAAACTTGATTCTTAAAACTTTACATTTAAATTTTGATCATCAAATGTAATGATTCCATAAATAAAGAAAATGAAATGTATCCATAACTTAATATACTTCGACAATGCTGACGTTCGCTCGGCTTGAAATAGACCGTTATATTATTTAGATTACCATATCTAATAGTTTACATCGATGTACTATATTCAGAATAAAGTAAATTGTGTTGGTTTTCTTGTAGCATCTGAGAAGAAAGTTTATGTTGGAAGATGAAATGGGAAGAAGAATGTCGGCAATGGATGTATTCTCAGATTGTATTAAATATCTGAAGAATCATCTCACACAGAAATGCTTACAACAGTTACCCGATACATGCGACAGTGATATCCGCTGGGTGCTTACTGTTCCTGCTATTTGGAATGATACCTCGAAACAGTTTATGAGGGAAGCTGCAGCAAAGGTGAAATATTTATCAGATACTAAATAAATTTGTAAAATGTTGAGCAAAATATGGAAGGTCTAAAAATACACATTAAACTAGTTATCCACACATATACAGTGTCATTACACATACGCATTTCTTCTCTGTCATTTAAACTGTCGTTTATATCAATGAATAGTTGGTACAAAGATATGCTGTTAAATCATGATACGTGCATCTGACATTCAAGACGATCGAAACTTTCGAACTAACTTCATATGCAAAAGTTGTCGGTTTTTATTACGATCTCTTTTTGTTTAAGAAATGATAAGAATATGTTTTTTTTTCTTATAAACAGGCCGGCATTTCAGATGAGAACTTGTTGATTGCTTTAGAACCAGAGGCAGCAAGTCTGTGTTGTCGACATTTGCCGATGAACGCTATTGGTGGGGGTTCTTGTAATTTTGTACCTTTTGCCCCTGGTTCGAAATACTTGGTATTTGATGCTGGTGGTAAGTTTTATGTAAAGAATCATTAGTACGAACTGTTGATGTGAATGTCTTGTTCATTTTCTTGTCCACGATATTTACTAATTTCACCCGCAAAAGAACCAAAATTAGTAACTGTGAACACAAGTTAAAAAAATGTTTACATGAGTAATAACTTGGCATTTTCAAATGTTTAGAGCTATAAATATAAATTAAGTAAGATATGTAGGGAACATAAACACGTATAAACAAAAAATAAACATAAACATATAAAAAAGTTCCCAGAACATTTTTGTTCATTTTTGCAGGCGGCACTGTAGATATTACAGTTCACGAGGTCCAGCCGAGTGGATCACTGAAAGAACTTTACAAAGCGAATGGAGGAAACTGGGGTGGTACCTATATCGACATAGCTTTCAGAAACCTCCTGGCTGATATAGTAGGCAACGATGTTATGGACGACTTCCAAGCAACTCAAATGATGGATTATATCGATCTATTTCGAGAGTTTGAGGTAAAGAAGAGGAATTTTAAGAATGAGATGACAGAGAAAATAACATTCAAAGTTCCTATTGCACTGAATGAAGGATTCAAACAAAAGAAGGGAATGGATATTAAAGATCATATCAAAACCAAACCAAAGTATGAAAAAAGCATTAACTGGATTGGAGACAAGCTACGGATGGAAGCACATGTTGCAAAGGGTTTATTTGCAGATGCCTGTGAGAGTGTTGCCAAACACTTAAAGACCCTTTTTACGGAAGGTCAAGTCAAAGATGTTCCTACAATTCTAATGGTTGGTGGGTTTTCAGAGTCACCTATGCTACAAGATGTCATAAAGAGAACGATGCCAGACAAGAAGATCATAATACCAGCAGATCCGGCCCTTGCAGTTCTCAAAGGGGCTGTCATTTTCGGCCATGATCCATCTGTCATACAGGAACGACGCTGTCGATACACTTACGGAGTCAGATCTTCTCATCGATTTAATGAACGTATCCACCCAGAGTCGAAGAAATTTGTTGACGATGACGGTGATATTCTCTGTTCTGACATATTTGATAGGCATGTCCAAAAATGGGCAGCCTGTTGAATACGGGGAGAGTTCAGGTTAATCAATCGTATGTACCAACTTCGAAAAAAGCGCAAAGGCAATGGTATTTCAAGTTTATGCTTCTGACGAGGCAGAACCGACTTTCGTCACGGATTCATGTTGCACACATCTAGGTAATCTTACTTTTGAGCTAGGCGGGTCCGGCACTGCTAGAGCGGTGAGGGTGCAAATGACGTTCAGCGGAACGGAGCTTAAAGTAGAGGCAGAGGAAGAGAGTACAGGAAAGAAGAAAAATGCAAAGTTTGATTTTCTTGGCTAATTTGACATTATACGGCGATGCAAATTTTCTGTATCGACATATATAATTATAGCAATTGCCAGAAATGTCATTGTATTAACTGAAACTATGTGTGTTGTGCTTTATCCTAGGTGATTCATGATATAATTCTCACACTTGCTTACAACAACGTGTTGACTTCTACCTGATTAAATTGAGTTCTTTTAATGGTACATGTAAATCTACATTGTATTTTAATAAAAAAAACGTATGCAAATCTATTTTCTTTGAATTATAAAACAGTGTAACGAACCTTTAATTGGATGTTTTGGTATTACATATATATCTGATGCATGTATGATTACGTCTAATATAAAGGTAAATCTAGACAGTGTTGCGTTGTGCTTTAAACAAAATCATAATGAAATCAAAAGAAGATTGACCAACGTGAAATATCAGTCACTTATCATGACGAATACATGATGGGATACAGTCTGTTTCTTTAATCTGAGGTGATATGCATTCCATGGTTCAACGGAAATAACAATTAAAGAGAATTAATCAAACTGTTGAGAAGTCAGAATTGCCTCTTTACCATGAATTGTTTGCATTTTTCCTTGACATGTACGTATATATGCGGTTTCGGCAAAATCACAACTAGTTAATAAAGATAATCGGTGAAAGCATATGCAGCAGCAAACAACAAGATGTATGTTAGCGAAAGGATATTCATATACATGTACGTAACTATGAAAAACATAATGTACGCGAGTGTAGTGTATATACATACATCTGTATGTTGTAAATGAGGTTGTTACCCCACTTAAGTGAAATTTTATATTTATATAATCATGCTTATAAAACCATTGTCAAACATCGAAGAATTTGTAAAATATGTAAAATATTTCTCATTGCAAAATTTGACTAAACTTTATAGAAAAAAAATCTAATTACCTCCCTTTATTTACATGAAATGTTAAATTCGGTAATATCTTTATAAATACTCCTTTTTGGAACTTACAATTTTGATAAATCTTAATTTGAGCATCGTATATATAATATAAAACCATAAAGTTTTGTGTTACGGGATCTTTAAGTGAAAAACATGTATTATATTTAGTGAAAAGAATATGAAAATAATAAGTGTCACTATATACATGTAGTAACAAATTTCATGATTTCAAAGCGCAAGGAAGACAAATTTGCTTGCATAAATAATAATTTTTAATGTGTTTTTTCAAAAAAACAAAAAGGAATTAAGAAATGTTTTTCAATTTTTAATTTAACGATTTTCCAAAAATAACTTTTTCATCTAAAAAGTGCTGTTTTTTTTTTAAACTATTCAATCAATAGAATATCCCCTGTCTGCTATCACCAATTTTTGCAGGAAAAGAAATTTCCCCAACAAAAAAAGGTAAAAAAAATTTTTTAATTTTACTGGCAGTGGGTATAATTTCTCGGAAAAAAACAATTTAAACACGTGAAACAAAGCACATTGATTTTTTGGACACGGGGACTATGCCCAAATTGCATTGCTATAACCTATTTAAATAATTGATTTAAAAAAATCAACAAGGAAAGATGGGGTTCAATGAACACAAACCCACACCCAAACAAAACCAGTGGGAAGGAGCCCGTAGGAAAAAAAAAAACAGAAAAGGGAAAGGGAGACAGGCGGCTAACACTAAATGATACATAAAAAGAAAAATAGTAAACCCACAAGGGAAAACAAGAAACAAATAAAAAGGTTGTAAAAACGTCCAAAAAAAAAGGCACCGGGGATAGGGATTAGGGATGGGGGGGGGCAAAATAAAGAAAAAAGACATTAAAAACATAGTTAGTCTTGCTATCGTTTTTCAAAAACCTTATTGATGAAAGTTTTGTGCCATATTACTTGTTCTACAAATGAAAAACTACAAGCCTTTTTGGCAATAAAATGCGCCGATTGCTTTAAGCTTTTTTAAAGAGTTTTGGGATTTTTGGGCGCATCGGGATGTCTTTCTGCTTAAAAGAACATCTTAAGCCCAGTTCAGAGACCAAAAATGAAATTGGATATAAATTGGACATTACTTTAATACAATTCTTTTTTGTAAAAGTAACACTCTTTATGCCATTTGGCCATTGACCCTTGAAGGACACATTTAAGGAAAACTCTTTTGAAAATCGTGAACAATTGAATTGATGTTTAGTATGTTATAGTATGTTTTATAAAAAGCCAAGGGTCAGATAAGGAATTATTTCACAGGGTAAATTAAAACCTTTTTGACAGCAAATCTAATACAAAATCAACGTTTCGGGCAAATAAGTATTGAAAAAAGTCATTATTTGGGAAAATTATATCCTTTTGGGCATAATTCCCCGCTTCTGACGCTCTTTCTTGATTGAAGAGGTCATCAGACCTCTCGACAGTGTTGAGATTTACCTGCAAATGAGGTTGGCTATTTTGCTCTATGCATATCATAAAATGTCACATGGTATAGGCACCGTGTTAGTGTGACCCGGTTTCTCTAGGCCGATAGACCTTACTTATTATACACAATTAAGGCCATAGTATCATGCAAAAGATAATTGTTTCGTCAATATATAGATTTTTTTAAAGGAAACTTTGCCGAAATATCTGTATCTAAATTTCCCTGAAGAGTCAAGTTTGAAAGAGTGAGCAGAAAATTAATCATATTATGTTCAGTTTAAGAATTGAATACTTACTGAAGTTTTAAACAAATTCAATCACTATTTATCTTTGCCTACAAGCTGGGTTTTTTTCTTCTTTCTAACGCGTCTTTCACATAACTTACTTTTGCAATTTGGATTATTATTATAAACATGTATTATTTATATGAAAAGAGACACAAAAATCATAAACAGGGCAAATCACGTTTTTTTATTCAAGGGATATAATACTACTTAAAATCATTCAACCGGAAAATCCGTGTAAAATCCGCAAGTACTTGAAAAAAAAAATTAATAGCTGCTATTGATCAACCCTGTAAAGTTTCAATGGAATTGTATGGAACGCCTGGACTATCTTATGCTAAGATTGAATGATATACCTGGTTAAATGTCGTTCTGTTGAGTCTGAGATACAATATGCTGGGCGTAAATCCCAATATGGTGTGGAAATCCCAAAGAATTGCATAAGTGGAATAAGTGGAGTAATCTGGACAAATTTTAAAAATTAAAATGAGCCGTGTCACGACAAAACCAACATAATGGGTTTGCGACCAGCATGGATCCAGACCAGCCTGCGCATCCGCGCAGTCTGATCAGGATCCATACTGTTCGCTATCAGTTTCTCTACTTGTAATAGAGTTGGTAAGCGAACAGCATGGATCCTGATCAGACTGCGCGGATGCGCAGGCTGGTCTGGGTCCATTCTTGTCGCAAACCCATTATATTGGTTTTGTCGTGACGCGGCTCAAATCACTCTGACAAAATCATTAAATCGAAAATGTTGATGAGATGCACAACATGACATAGTATTGATCATTCCTGTAAGGTTTTTATGCAATTAATTGCATCAGTAGTTTCTAAGAAGTCCGGACAAGATTCTGTGTAGCTGGCAACACACACACGCACGCACGCACACACGCGCGCGCACACGCACACACACACCTTTTTATTCAAGGGTCATTACTCGGCCAAAAATCATTCAACCGGAAAACCAGTGTAATATATATAAGCACTTGAGCTACAGATCAATCCTATAAAGTTTCATTGTTTATGAAATTGCTTTAGTGGTATAAGAGAAGTAGTCCGGACAAACTGTATAAATAAAATATTATTTAAGGTCCATAATTCTGACAAAACTATTACACCGGATTAAACTTTTTACTGATCATTCCTGTCAAGTTGGATGAAATTGCACCAGTAGTTTTTAAGGAGTAGTTTGGACAAGTTTTGTGACAGACGGACAGACATACGGACAGACAGACGACGGAGAAGTGATCACTATATATCGGCTCTCTCGGTCCGTACGTAAAGGCGATAAAACAAGAGCTGTCACAGAAGACAGCGAAGCTCGACTAATTAAATACTTGACGCAACTATGAAAGAAAAATCAATTAATTATGAATTAAGTTAAAGTACAAAATAACATTTGTTAACATAAATTCCAAGTTGAAGGGGGGATAAATCTGGAAATAGTCAAGCTAGAGTTATGAACCTTGTCACACAACATGTGTGTAATGATAAGATAATGATATATATTTGAAGTTTGAAGTAGATACCTTAAAAAGTAAAAAAGTTATAATATTTCTTAAAGAAAACCTAAGTTCAAAGAAAGAAAAAAACTGAAAATATTGCTTTAAGAGTTATGAACCTTGTGACATAAGATGTAATTGACGAAAAGGAATAAGTATTTAAAGTTTGAGGTAGATACCTTTAAAACTAAAGAAGTTATAGTAAAAAATAACATTTTTCAAGTAAAAAAATCTAAATTTATGGGGAGATAAATCTGAAGATATTGGTGCTAGAGTTATGAACCTTGCCAAATAAGATGTGTTTGATGATAAGGAACATATATTTGAAGTATGAAGTTAATTTCTTAAGAAATAAATAAGTGACAGTAAAATATAATATTTTTGAAGGAAAATTCTATGTTTAAGGTGGGATAAATCTGAAAATATTGGTGCTAGAGTTATGAACCTTGTCACATAAGATGTGGTTGATGATAAAAAACATATATTTGAAGTTTGAAGTTGATCCCTTAAGAAATAAAGTAGTAACAGTAAAAAATAGTATTTTTTTAAGGAAAATTTTTTAAGTTCAAAGGGAGATAAATCTAAAAATATTAGTGCTAGAAGTATGAACCTTGTCACATAAAATGTGGTTGATGAAAACGAACATATATTTGAAGTTTGAAGTTGATACCTTAAGAAAATGAAGTTAAAGTGAAAAATATTTATTTCTGCACCAAAACTTTTATCTGAACGCGGACGCCGACGCCGGGGCGAGTAGGACAGCTCTCCATATTCTTAGTATAGTCGAGCTAAAAATGGAGAGTAGAAATGGAATTTTAAGAAAAAGATAACAACAGACGAATTCACCAAACAATATAATTTCTAAAAGTTAAAATAATTAACACACATATTATATAATAAATTATCTTACAAAAAGAATGAGAAGTTAACAGAGAAAACTGATTGATTGCATCATTAATACTTGGAAATATACTAATTTGCTTTTACGGTAAATGCTTATATTTCTATAATTTTCTAGAATCACAGAATACATATTATACATATTTATAAATATATTTATAAACATATCTATTATTATTAATATAATCATACTATAATTATTATCTCCAGGGTTTTATTAAATGTATGCATTGTGGGTGTAAGCTTTTCAAATTTTGTGAGTAAGTTACTAGGAATCATACCATATCTAATGTAAAAAAACTCGCATTAACATAAAATAGACAGTACTAAATTAGTAAAAATAAAGGCCATTCACAATCCAATTAGTAATATACAAAAAAAATTGTCAGTTCGCTTTATAAACAAACAGTTAAATATTCAATATATCACGATTTATATCCAAATAATCATAACTGTTCTCTTTCTTTGAATTAGCCAAGAAAATCAAACTTTGCATTTTTCTTCTTTCCAGTACTCTTCTCCTCTGCCTCTACTTTAAGCTCTGTTCCGCTGAACGTCATTTGCACATTCACCGCTCTAGCAGTGCCGGACCCGCCTAGCTCAAAAGTAAGATTACCTAGATGTGTGCAACTTTGATCTGTTACGAAAGTCGGCTCAGGCTGATCGGAAGCATAAACTGGAAATACCATTGCCTTTGCACTTTTCGAAGTTGGTACATACGATTGTGTAACCTGACTCTCCCCGTATTCAACAGGCTGCCCAATTTGAACATGCCTATCAAATATGTCAGAACAGAGAATATTATCGTCATCGTCAACAAATTTCTTCGACTCTGGATGAATGTGTTCGTTAAATGGAAGGCATATCTTGACTCCATAAGTGTATCGACAGCGTCGTTCCTGTATGACAGATGGATCATGGCCGAAAATGACAGCCCCTTTGAGAACTGCAAGGCCCGGATCTGCTGGTATTATGATCGTCTTGTCTGGCATCGTTCTCTTTATGACATCTTGTAGCATAGGTGACTCTGAAAACCCACCAACCATAAGAATTGTAGGAACATCTTTGACTTGATCTTCAGTAAAAATGGTCTTTAAGTGTTCGGCAACACTATTGCATGCGTCTGCAAATAAACCCTTTGCCGCATGTGCTTCAATTCGTAACCTATCTCCAACCCATGAGATACTATTTTCATACATCGGATTGGTTTTTATGTGATCTTTGATTTCCTTTCCCTTCTTTTGTTTAAATTCATCAGCCAGTGCAAGAGGAACCCTAAATGTTATTTTCCCCGTCATCTCATTCTTAAAGTTTCTCTTCCTGCCTTCAAACTCTCGAAATAGATCTCTCTCGATAAAAATCCATCATTTTTGAGTTGCCTGGAAGTTGTCCATAACATCGTTGCCTACTTATATCAGCCAGGAGATTTCTGAAAGCTTTGTCGACAAATGTTCCACCCCAATTACCTCCATTCGCTTTGTAAAGTTCCTTCAGGGACCCACTCGGCTGGACCTCATGAACTGTGATATCAACAGTACCACCTGCGAAAAGAATGCACATGTTCTGATTTAAACTTAATCAAACGTCAATGTTTTAAAACGTCACAACATATCTTACAAAATTACAAATGTGACGAAAATATTTAAAGCTTTTACCACTCATAAATGTATTAAACCTTTTGGAACATTGTTTGGATATTAGCTGTTGAAGCTGCGCAAATGTGGATGATTTTACACTTCGTCATGAAAATTTACAAAATTTATAAACTTTTTTATATTCAAAATGTAGATCGGGGTTTTTAAAACTTACCCCCGCATCAAATACCAAAATATTTTCCCAAAAGTTTTAAAAATTTCGAACCACCACCAAACTTTTTATCGGGGAAATGTCGACAACCCCCAAGGGTCTTCCGGTTTCTAGAGCAACAAAGGTTTATCCAAAAGCCGGGGTTTTAGATTTTTAACCCTGCAAAAAAAAGTAAAATATTCCACTAAATAATTTACTTTTACCAAAATTTCATAAAAAGTCACCATCATTTCTATAAGAAGACTTCACCAACTATTTTCCTTATTTCATATTAAAGCTTAACCACTCGTTTTCTCTACAAAAGTAACATTTCAATTATTTCCTGCTCTTAAGGAAATGCTCTATTAAAATTGTTTGAAAAGCTATCATATTTTGCTACCCTTTGAGATATATAAGGAAAATCTCGTATATCTATTTCACCTGAACTGCAGCTTCTCTCATAAACTGTTTCGATGTATCATTCCAAATAGCAGGAACAGTAAGCACCCAGCGGATATCACTGTCCAATATGCCTGGTAGCATTTGTAATACTTTCTGCATGAGATGATCCCTCAGATACTTTATAGAATTTGAGAATACATCCATTGCCGGCATTTTTCTTCCCATTTCATCTTCCAACATAAACTTTCTTTTCAGATGCTACAAGAAACTCATTTTAAGTACATGTTTTCTTTTGGCAGACAGCCTCAAAATAGATTACGTATTGCTCACGAGTACCTTAGCTACATTGCTCTAGATTTAGATTTAAACATATGTATTGCTCTAGTTTTAAATCTATACATATAAATTTAGCTTTAATTTTAATATTAACGTTTAAAAGTAAATATCGTAACCTAAACAATACAATTAAATGCCTACTTTTTCCTAAGTTTATAAATAATATTACTGTAGTTGATAACAGCTCAAAGTTTCACAACTTCTTACATATGTCCCAGTTTGCAAAACTATACAAATCAAAGTGCTGCAGCACTGAATGCGACGGACATGCAACTGGGGAGACATTTTGGTTTTTTTTAGAAAAAAAATAAAACACAAAATATATAACAGAGAAAATTTGTTCCATACAAGGAGCAATATATTTTGTGTCCCAATCTGATATAGTCCAGATTTTCTACTTTCAAGCAGAATGAAATATATGCCTAAAACCCTGGTCAAACTTGTAAATCAGTGTCATTATCGATTTATTCCAAGAAATGATATGTAAATGGAAAAAAAACTTTCAACGACATATTTCTAAAATAAAACCATGCAAATAGACTTCAAGCATAATACATTATACCACGGATAAATCCGTGATTATACATGTGAGAATGTTATTTAGAATTGCTTCGTGTTTTAACATAGTAGGCATATAGACAATAAAATATAAGTCATTTGTATTTTTATTTCTTTTGGATATGTACGTCTCATTAAAAATATTTTTGGTTAAAATCATCAGCAATTAATAGTCACCGTATTTTTTAGATTTTTTTTATTTGCAAGGGCCAGAGCACATCGTTTTTATTTTAATCTAAATGTCACAATTTTTTTAAAAGCACTATATTGTTTAGTTGTCCTTTTCATTTTCACATTAAATTACATTTTCAACTTGTTTGCTTCTTACAATTGTATAGAATATCTAAAAGTATTGCATGTGAACAAAGTAAGTAAGTATCCGCTGGTTTATAACATTTACAATGTGTACTTCCTACTGTCCGAAAATCAGCACAGGTAAAGCAGAATCTATTTTTAGAATAGCGAAGGTTAACTCATATCGTGACCTAGAAAATGTATCTAATTTATTAATAACTGCTGAATATTCAGCTAAACCCGCGGTATGAGTCACGAAAATAGTTCTTCTTTTATTAATGCGCGAGTTATTCTAGAGTCCAAAAAACTTTTGATTTGTTAATAATAATGTTTTGTATAATGTAAGAAATATTTATTTCCTACTAATAATTTCTTGGAACTCAGAGCTTACACCTTTATTATAGTATAATTTGCTGTCCTACTTTTTCGACAGCGGTAAATCGTTTCGGCAGTAATTTGCATAATTGCGCAATAATACTACGGGACTACAACGTTTTTATCAATCATATACGTCCATATTTTAACTTGGATAACTTAATTTGAAATTGAAAAGGCTAATTATGGAAGATTTTAAGATATCCCGACATAGTATGGGAGTTTTAAAGGATCAAATTCATGTACTTTTTCTTGGGCTGTTAATCGGTTGAGGACACTTTGCGCGAGTGTAGCAGACGAAATCCCATGTAGATGACTTAGCTCTGAACGCGCCTGAGGGCGCGTCCGTCGCAAAAATGAGACAAAATATAAATGTAATAATAAGTATTTATATATTACGGAATACCGTTAGGGCCATCGTGGTTAGACTTTCTAATCCAGAGGGCGACAGTGCGATAGTGCGATGACGACAATATATAGTGCGATGACGACAGTGCGATAGTACGATGAAGACAGTGCGACAATACGATGACGACAGTACAATAATGCGACAATGCGACAGTGCGATGGTGACAGTGCGATAATGCTATGGCGACAGTGCGATAACGCGATGACGACAGTGCGATAATGCGATGGCGACAATACATAGTGCGATAATACTATCGCGTTGTCGCCATCGTACTATCGTACTGTCGCCATCGCACTATCGCATTGTCGTCATCGCACTGTCGCATTATCGTATTGTCGTCATCGCGTTATCGCATTGTCGACTATCGCCTTCCGATGGACAATCATAAACTGCTGACGAATAAGCTGACGGTATAGAATATGGGAAAATAATTTTACTTTTGTCAATAGATTTTTATCTTCTTGTTTTTTGTTTGTTTGTTTTTTTCGTTCCCTTTTTGTTTGTTTTTGTTTCTTTTTTGTATACTGAAAAACTGAAACTGTTTTATTTGCTTAAACGCCTATTTCTACATATAATACATATTCAATGGCGTTGTACAATATCACGTCAGAACAGTAAAAGTAATAAATAAATGTAGGTTAAGAATAATAAAACAATTAATTTTAAATCTAAATCTAAAACATGGTATCACAAATAAAAGAAAGTAATGTTATTTAAAATAATTAAAAATATGGCTATATTATTAAAGGACATGGTAAAAGACATGCAAATGTTACTTGGATAATAAATACATTGTAAAATCAGATATTCATCACAGAGTTAATGCGCAGAAAAACATTGTCTCTTAGTTTCTACACTTTACTGACTTTGACTAAAAAAGATTAAAATAGTCTCTGAAGAAATGAGTCTTCAAGTGTTTCTTGAAACTATCAACTGATGAGCATTGTCTGATATTTAATGGAAGATCATTCCAGAGTTTCGGGCCGATTGTACTGAAACTTCTGTCACTGAAAGTTTTACACTTATTAAAAGGCACTTCATAACTGTCAACTGAAAATGATGATGATCTCAGAGAACGTTTTTGAACTTTAGGTGTAAGCAGGTCGGTCAAATAAGTTGGTGCATTTCCAACGTGACAGTTACATATATACAAGAATCTTGAATTGTATTCTGGCCTTGATGGGCAGCCAGTGTAGATCGTATAGCGCCTGCTTAGAACTGTCACTTTTCCTACGATTCAATACTAGTTTGATGGAAAAAATTAACACAACATAGTGATTTTGAAATGTCTATGAATATAATTTGTTTGTGTTTTTTATACAAGTAATAAACAATGATTATTTTGCATCTTTTAAATGTCAACATAAGATCATTTTCATCTGAAATATTTCTATTACATTCTATATTAAAGTTTCACAAAATTGATTACATTTTAGTTTAGTTTAATCATATTTTATTGCTTTTACATTTTATACAAAACAGATACATTGTCACATGTAAACATACTACAAAACAGTAACGAATACATTTACAGTTAATACATGGATGTTATAGTTATTATAAAAAAGCAAAAGGGTCGAGCCACAAGTTTTAACAACATTAGAGAATTGGCCCTGCCCTCATCGTCTCACTTGTAGTTAAAAGATGTGCATAAATTCTGTTGTAATTGGAATTCCATAAATGTATATATCAGCCAATATGATATCATTTGAGAAAATAGAATTTGATTATAAAAATTGTTCAAAGACTAACAAAACTTGAATTAAAAAAAGTAATAAAGAAAAGGAAAAAAAGAAAGGAAGAAAGAAAGAAAGAAAGAAAGATTGATTGATTGAATGAATGAATGAATGAATGAATGAATGAATGAATGAATGAATGAATGAATGAATGAATGAATGAATGAATGAATGAATGAATGAATGAATGAATGAATAAGCACCATGTAGGAGATTCCTGCCCAGTTCCTGTCCTCAGCATTTATATATTAGTTATGGACAACAATTTAAAAGCATTGTTTGAAAATTAGTCATTTTCAAATCTCCTTGAATATTTGATGAAATTTTGAACGTGAAGGAATAACTTATTATTGTCTTCATCACTAAGGTTAGTGATACCGAAAAGCAATTTATGGGCACTAAGAGGGTGATAATCACGAGGATTGATAAATAACGTTAGCCTTTGGTTTATATAAAATGGGCACTTGAAAAAGTAATGGTCTGCGTCTTCAGAATAAAAACCGCATTCACAATTTGAATTGTCGAATTCCTGAATTGTCACGTAAGTGATTGTAGTGAAAATCAGCATTTAAATTGCTACACTTATTTCTAATACGTGTGTGGTGAATTTGTAAAAATCTGTCACCAGTAAGGAAATATATCGGAGCTTGAGGCGGCGTAAAGATTTTTTTAATTTTGGTTCTGAAAGATGAAAGTGTAGGAGACGTTCGCGTTTCAAGATCTAAACTGTTCCATAATTTAATGGAAGATGGTATCACTGATTTTTGAATAAATTTCTAGACGTCGGGTAACAGCTGTGTAGTTTTCGTTGTTTCTTAAATTATATGTACTAGTATTACGAACTAATTCTGGAAATATATCACTTAAATAACAGGGAAGCTCGCCTTGGTTATGTTTAAAAACTAGAATTAATTTTTGCATTTTCCTTCTGTCTGCAAGTGATACCCAACCGATTTCACGAAGAAAGCGATAGATACTGACCTCGTTAGACCAGTTTCTATGGAAAGCCTTGACTGTCTTATGATTGTAAAAGTGAACGTTGTTGTGTCACTCTTTCTTTATACAATGTGCATTCATGAATATATTATGTAGATGCATCATTATATGAAGTCAACTGAACAATATATGATGTCAATGTGTCTTTATATGATGTCGACCAATCATTATACGATGTGAATTTATGAATACTAGTATATGATGTGGTAGAATTATTATATACAGCCAACTTATCAATATATTATGTCAATCTTTCATTATACGATGTGCATCTATTATTATACGATGTGCATTTATGAACATATTATGTGGTTGCATCATTATATACAGTCAACTTATCAATATATTATGTCAATCTTTTATTATACGATGTGCATCTATTGTTATACGACCGCTGCTTTATATGAAGTGCAAACATCATTATATCGTGTGCTTCTGTCATTATACTGAAGGGGTTAAATTTACCGGGTAACATCTCACTATGCACCGTTCGTGGCAACAGTGGGAAAACTCAAAGTAAATTGTATCTAAATTGTTCAGCTGACTCTATATAA